CAAAATAAGTAAAATTTAAACATTGAAAACTTTTTTTTCTCTCAATCAAGTTCACCTAAAGACTCAAATAAATGTATAATATCCAGACCAACATCACTTCGAAATCTTTATTTTCAGACGTCCTCTCCGAACGGAGACACAGTATATATTAGACTTATTGGACATCTCCAAATTACAATTGAGACAGATTAGATATTGGACCAGATACCGAGATTTACGATGTTTTTAAAAGTCCAATATTGTCGGACGCGATGACGTTATGATGTTGATCCGTGCTGTTACAATTGTACGTGATTTGATGATTTCTTTGGAAACTCGATTGAAATTCGGTTAAAACGTATATTGGCTATAGACTAAAGCACACATGCAGAACGAGTTAAATTTTCCGTTATTAGTTTTTATAATCATTGAAAATAGGTTAAAGAGAATACAATATATTGGTATCTAAGAATCTGAACATACAACTAAAAAAGAACTGTGAAGTAGAGTTATTTGTGAACGAATGACATCAAAGTTGAAAGTATCTAAAAAATTAAACAAATATGTCTTTAGATCTTGTTTGAATATTGATAAACGGAATTGTATTTTATAAAAAAAAATGATCATAACTCATAAGACATCAATTTAAATATTTTGAATTCTTAAAATGGGCATTAGGCAGTTTATTATTTATGTAAATTTAAGAAGTTTAACATGTCTAAATGTTTTTATTTTAAGAAATAAATAAGCATTTGATATTGATGAATTTTAATAAGATTTGATTTCCTTCTAACAATCATATTTTAAGATGGATTATGTGTTATGATATTGAATCAAATTCAAACACCAATAGGAATATTATGCTATTTACAGTTATATTGTTATGTTCGATTAAGTGATATTAACATATCTTATCATATTGGATGACATGTTAACATAAATAGTTGAATCATTATGGAATTTAATTTATAATACTGAACAACAATATTTTAATTTAGGCAACCCAGAGCATTAAAGTGCATTATTATTGATTACCAATGTAGTAATGCCTAATGTCACTTGAGTAATTTCGACATTTTGTAATCAATTTCTATGTACCCTTTTTTTGTTCTTATTAATGACGTAGACGTACGTCGTATAAAATATATTTTTTTAAAGTTCAATGTGTCCAAGTTCTTAATAAAAAAATCTTAAATTAATATTAAAATAAAAAATATTGGTCACACACAATGTATTACTAATAAGTTAAGTCAATCAAATAAAGTTAATTAAATATTATGTATCTCTGCATCATCTTCAAAAAATGGTTCAATTAGATCTTTTAAATTTAGATTATTAATATAAAGTAATATTATACTCTTATATTAAATGAAAAGGTGACATTTTTTTAAAACAAATTTGAACTTACCCACTACGTCGTTTATATGAAGTACGGGTTATAAAAGTATGTACCTAAATTATATATTATATGACTAGAAATTTGTATTTAAACTTTAATTGCGACTTTGTTAAGAATGTGTGAATTGTAGATGTTGTAAAATTACGTAATGTGTTTGCTAACAAATTGTAATAGATTGAATTTAATGGCATAATGACATAAGCAAATTGTTGGGTCAAAAGTATTCAGTTCTTGTTTATAAATAGGTATTATTAAATTGATATTGATATTTTTATTAAAACCATGTACGTACAACATGTAATAAAAACGATTTACGGACAAATGTCTTACGTTTCAATAAAAATTTTTTAAATATAGTGTATTTTTTAATCGTCACGTTCACAAGCAACACTTTCTTCTTTATGTGTGAACTCACTCCGGCACAGGTTCACCATAAATATGATTTTAACTATAATATTGCAATTCATACGTAATAAAATTGTAATACAAAATTTATAACATTAAAAGTTTATCAGAATGAAATAATAATATAACCTTAATTTGTATACGTTTTTTTTATAGTTTATGTTTTTATATTAACGTTACGCACTCAAAACGGATTCAAAGAACAACGGTAATTATAATATTTTATTTTTGGTTAACCAATACGAGTAAAAGTAGGATATCCTTAGAACAGGATGTTAGACTCAATCGTCAGCCTGTCCCGATTCCATAAGTTGCTAATTATTCTGCAAACAAAAAACAACAACTGTTGTACTTAGCGATTAAATTTTAGTTTTTTGTTTGTACCTTTTGTTTCCATTTTACACCAAAAATAGTTAACATAAAATTATAAAAATTTCAAGAGCTAATAACAACCGATAATTGTTCAAACTGACACTACAATTACTCGTTGTCCTATATATATATATGTTATATAATACACCTGATTGACGTTTAGTAGACTTCGTGTCTATACTGTACATGTCAACCATTTTAAAATGTGGTACTTAAAAGTGTCGTCGAGTTTACTCATTGCAGTGGCATTAATCTGTATGATACAGGTAGGTGAAGTATAATGTTTTCGAACAGGACTATACGTCCAATAATATTAACTATCATTTATTACTGTCAAAATCTAAATTCAGTCGATATGAATATTACTAGGAATAATATATTTTGTATTTATTATATCACGTATTTTAACCATCAGACATTATAGTTAAAAGGTAAGATTGATTCAAAGGATGCTTGACGCATAATTATTAAATTATGGTATGTAATGAGTTTTTTTATCCCGTTTTGGGTCAAAAAACCACGTCAATCTATATTTTAAAGTCCATGAAAGGTGACCGTTTTGATCGATTAGAAAATTATCCAGATTTATATGAAACCCAAAAAGTTCTTGAAATTTTTGACTTAAATTACTAAAGAGAATTAAAGGTCGTTCGATTATATTACATAAAAAGATTGTTTAAGTTGAATCTCGCGTTTGAATATCTTGATTTAGCTATCTTTTGAAATAGTTAAAGAAACATTTGAAATTATGATTCTTTTAGCAGGGTTAGACTAATCATCTATTTTTATAAGTATATGTTCGTTTAATTTGATATTATGATGATCATAGATCAAAAAAAAAACAACAGTTTTTGTATTTTAAAAATATATAAAAATAGTTGTTGGATATTCCGATATTCGAGAGACGTATTTGATATTTTTTGCTGTTTATTATGATATAATATTCGAATTGAGGTATGTTATCAATTGATTCCAATACGATTGCTTGATATTTTTAAGGGTAAGTCTACGTTGATAGTAGTTTTAGAAAAGGATTTTCTAACGAAGAAACTTTTGTCGGTTTTGATATTTTGATATTTGTATTTGAGATTGAAGGCGGCTCATCTGTCTCGTTATCTAATGTGATGGAGGTTGGCTCAAGATTATATATTGTTGCATTTGGTTTATTATGAGTTATTTTTGAAAAATAATAAGTATGTCTCTATGACTTATGGAGTTGTTGAGTGTATCGCCCATTTTTGATGAGTGAAATTGTTATTATGAAACAAAAATATGTAAAAAAAAATTAATAAAAAATCGGTATTCATATTGGTATCCGGCCAAAATAGCGAAACAATTACCGCGAATGTAAAAATCGCGAATTGATAATAGCGTAAATAAAAATAGCGAATTGTAAAAAAGAGCGAAAATACATAATAGCGAAGAGAGAAACATCTGTCTGATAAAAATTTGAATAAAATTTATTTCGATTAAAAAATATAATATCGTTAAATTCTAATAATAAGTATTTATAGTAGTAATAACAATTATTTTAAATAAAATAATTATATTCAATTTAAATATAATTATATCTAGGCATTCAGTGACAAATTATATGCTATACCTATTATGAAGTTCTTATTCTCATTAGTATTATAATTTGTAACTAATGCATAAATTCTTTTATTACAGTCCTTGTACTTTTTTTTTTCTGTGGTTGTTCTTCAGCATTATACTACTCTAATTTTAAGTTTCGTCATTATGCATGATCGCTTATTTTAAAATTCGCTGTTTTTATTTACGCTATCAATTCGCAATTTTTACATTCGCCTTAAATTGTTACGCTATTTTGGCCTAGACCCATTCATATTAACTGATGCACTCGTAGTTATTCTGAATGTTAAAGAAAGTTATAAATACGAAATCAAGGTACCATAAACGAGTTTCTTAATATTCATTTTTCAATAAATGAAAAACAAAAAATGTAATATAGATATGCAAAAGCGGAATCTATATTATTTAATTATTTTTTACTTTTTTTGATTTATTTATCACATTATTTTTTTAGCAATGTTTCGAATAAAATAATGAAACTAAAGTTAGGAGCTTAATAATAGAAGTAGCCAACATTAAGAGGGAATCGTCTTATTATAAATTATGAGAGAAAAGCACAGAGAAAAGTTATGGATACCTAATTCTTGCAAGTGGGCAATATTTTCAATAAACAACATAGAAACCTAAATTTTTTTGTTAATTTTTAATTGATTTAAAAAATTGTGCAAATTGACAATAATCAGCTCATTGCTTCTAAGTATGCAGAAAATATTAGATCCTCAAAAATATCAATACACCTGAAGTATACAGCAGCAATGCAGCATACATCAATATTGGTCACTAAAATATAAAATTAACCAACTAAAATAAGTAAAAAGAAATCTATCAATGAAGGATTGATCCAGATTTATCAAATTATTAGATCTATTAAGTAACACATTTTTTTAAAAATTGTAACTAAAGTGGTATCTCATAAAGTAGTTTATCCATAACATAAGGGCCACACTCATTTCTAATTTTTTTTAATCCTTATTTTAATCAAATTGTTAATAAGTTATTCTGTTAGCTTGCTTTTATTTTAGTTTATTATAATGACAATTTCCCACTAATTTACACAAAAAAAACTGCCTATTATCAAAAACGTATGGTTTGAATTAACAAGAAAAAAATATACATTATATCTAATGTTTTGTATATATTTTTCACTATGAACCCACATTACCATGACAAATTTATGTTTTAAACAAAAACATTTAATAACAATTTTTAAACGCTGATTTATAATCTCTAAGACGTGTTTATTTTTTTTCAGAATGCAATATCACTCACTATTGATCCCAAAACTCCAGAGGATAAGTGGTCAACGCTAGAAAGTTCCACAGATCAAAATGACTTGAAAAAAATTTCAAAACTGTGTAAAATTTATCTTAATAACTTCAACGAAAAATTAGAAAACACGAAAACTAGTGCTAATAAAAAATTGCCTGAACCAAATAAGACAACGGAAGATATAGCTAATTTAGTTAGTGAAATAAAAACTCAAGTAAAAAATGCATCTGTAGATCTTGTAACTGTAAGAAAGTTAGTGCAAAAAACTGCTTTACGATTTAGAGACACATTCAAATCGCTTGTATCATTTACTGAATTAGAAAATGACTCTGTGAATAAAGAATTAGAAAGTATTAAGAAAACAGCAGTTGATAGTAAAAAACCATTGGTAAATCGTGTTATACGGTCATTTGGAAATCGGTACGATCTTAATAAATTGGCCAACAAAGTTCTTGAAATAACATCTGATCGAGAAAATTTAAAAAATAATTATGATGAAAAAAAAAAAATAGCTAAAAGGGAATTTAATTCATTATGGAATTCTTTATCTAGTCATTCAAAAACTGTGAATGATAATGCTTTAAAAGCATTGGATACTTTTTTTGAAGGCATGAAATCGGTAAAATCAGTGAAAAAAAAAGTTAAGACTGTTGGAGAAAATGCACTGGATGAAATAAAAGCAGGGAATGATATTATTAAACTTAAAAATGCAGTTGAATTAGCTAAGGCATTGAAATTGAAATTCGAAGATGAATGGAATCTTGATTCCGGAGAATTAACTTACAGTGATGAACAAAAGAAAACTAATACACAAGTATTAGATGAAAATAAGTCTGATGTCCAGGAAAACGAAGAAGATACGAATAAGATTGAGAATGTTTCAATAAATGATATACAAACTGGTTTACCGAAAACCGAACAAGGAGCGATTGAAAATAATAAAACAAATGGAATTCCAACTACTCAGGATGAAATTGAAAAACTTCCTATGGATAATATCCAAACCTCTGATAAAGCAGTTTCTTCAATTGAGGAAATACAATTAACTTCCGCGGAAGAAAATATGGACGAAACTAAGACAATTCCTGAAACAGAAAATAGTACTATGGATACTAATGTTTCTAATACTATATATTCCCCAATAAAAGAAAATCCATTAATTAATAACACAGAAAATAAAGACAAAACAGTCATCGTTCAACCTCAAGTTTCAAATAAAGACCAAAATTCAATAAATGATGATAATTTAAAACCAGATTCTTCTGGTCAAGAAATATCATTTAACCCTGATAGCAATAACGACGCGGCTACCCAACTCACAGAATCGACTGATAACAAAATAGGTAAAACAATAAACAAAAGAACAAGTAGGGAAAAAACTTTAATACTGCCATGGGAAAAATTAATACAACTAGATAACCCACAGGTTAGTCAACAGTCAAAAAAATGCGAAAATCTATTGAATAATGTAACACCAGACTTTGATAATATAAAAAAATCAGCAAAAAACGCAATACAAGTGACAAATAATTATAAAAATTTACAAGAGATTGAAAATAATACTGTCAAACAATTTTATAATAAAATGGTTGACACAAATACAAAACTTTGTGATTATTTAGTTAATGCAGCAGAGGATGTATGTGCAGAAGTAACACCAATGAATAAAAGATATGAAGAAAAATTTAAAAATGATCCAAACATTAAACGAATAAAATATTTATTAGGTAAGCAATATGATCCTAATCAGTACATTTTAAAAATTTTAGACGATGCAAATCATAGAAGTGGAATTGGTGGTATGAAGAAGACTACTTATTATAAAATGTTAGCAGTGGCTCATAATTTGAATCATGAAACACAAGAAATGGAAAATGCAGCATTGTATGCAATGAATAAAATACATGAGGGAAAAATAGCTGCAACTAATTTACAAAAAAAGTTTAATAAGGAAAAAGCATCTAAAGCTTGTTATATAAGAAATATTTTAGCAGCACAAGAGAATGAAAATGACAAAAAAAATAAAGACGAAAATAAGGAAAAAGTAAAAGAAAGTTTAAATGAGGACGATAACAAAGAACCATTAAAACAAGATGTTAACTTAGATTCAGTCGATGCCTTACAGCCATCAACAATTAACGATGATAATGAACCAATTATAAATAACAACGAAGAAACAAAAACGCAGAATGAAATAGATGAATTGATAAATACAGATCACGATACTGAAATACCGGAAAACTCGGAAACTGAAAAGGTTGATTCAAACAAAGAGCATGCTCCTCAAGAAGAAAATGTTGAAGAAAGTACATCTGTTAAACCCAAAGTGAAACGTCGCAGGAAGATAATAGATCCCAAAGATGGTAAAGAAATATCTGAAGAATACGAAGTATCAGAAGAAGACGAAAACAATTTAAATAAGTCAGGTGAGAAACAATCTGATGAAAATAAAGGTTTAGATTCGTCAGATAATACTAATACCGAACACGATACGGAAACACCGGAACACTCGGAAGCTGAACCAGTGGATTCAAACGAAGAGCATGCTCCTCAAGAAGGAAATGATGAAGAAAGTACATCTGTTAAACCCAAAGTGAAACGTCGCAGGAAGATAATAGATCCCAAAGATGGTAAAGAAATATCTGAAGAATACGAAGTATCAGAAGAAGACGAAAACAATTTAAATAAGTCAGGTGAGAAACAATCTGATGAAAATAAAGGTTTAGATTCGTCAGATAATACTAATACCGAACACGATACGGAAACACCGGAACACTCGGAAGCTGAACCAGTGG